TAGTTTTCAAGCATACTTACAGCGTATTTTGGTCCAGGAGTTGGTTTCGGGCATCCACGCATACAACTTTTACAACTGCAACTCGGCTTTGTTTGGTTGTTCCAAGGAGTAATGAAACTTTCGTTGCATCTGTATGCCTTGACGTCCATCCATTTCATTTTCTTCGGGAGAATATCCGGCAAAAGTAGCGCGGCTTTAGAGTAGATTTCAGTCCGGGCAGAGAACATGTGATCGAACAGTTTCTTCGGAGTGCACATTGGAACATCCACATAGCACAAACGTCGTATTATGCTGCTCCGCCTTGAATAAAAACCGAGAACATCCTTGCATGAGTCAAGTAGCATCTGCTTAAACATGGGTGAGACGTAGGCTTTCAACATGGCGATTGTAATATCTGACTTATAAGGTATCACCCTCACTGGATCCATGAAGAGGGACTGATCAGGACTGCATGTTAATTTACACAACATGTTCATCATATTCTGATGACAGGCGGGGCATTCTTTTGAAAAATAGCCAAACTTATCCTTCAGAGCAACGAGAAGATTTGTGGAACAACATGTCTTCCTATCTGCMGCATACTGTGGACAAAGTTCTTGGAGTAGCTGAATACCTTTGGTGTCATTCATTGTTTTCGCTGGTCCGTTATAGAGGCAATTCAGGCCTGGTGCTAGATAGTGCGGATAGGGTCGGGGATAAGGACAATGATCATACCAAACACAATAACCTTTCTTGCGGATGGGAACGTGGTCCTTCTGCGGGAAAGAAYAATAAAAAAATTCAAATCAACTTGTTTCGGTTTTAACTAAACATGATCAATAGAGGGGAATGGTTTGGAAACCTTTTGTTGTACTTCTTTCTTGTACTTCTTCTTCTTCTGCTTCTTTTGTATGTATTTTGAGGTTGAATCAGTCAAGACCCGTGCACAACTTTTTTCTTACGATGGAAATTGCAAAATGAGTGAAGATAAACACTCTCTATGAGATTATGAAATGAAATATTTCAATATTGGTTAAATTTTTTGTACATTGTGAAGAAATAGTCAAAAGAATAATTTGTTTCGCTCAACTTCGTTCCCGCCTGGCCTCAAGCGAAGGGATAAGGGCCTGGGAACGAGGTTGATTTTCGCTCTGTTCATTCAGATGTACTGGCTAAAACAATAGTTAAACAGAAGATTGTCCATGATCATGCTTGAAAAAAAAGTGCACAAAAACCTACAACAAAAGGCTTGATCTCAACCATTTCCTTCTACAAACAATGATCTAAATAACAAATTTTAGATGGATAAACTAAGGACCCGCAAATATTCGTCGGTTGTTGCAATATGAATTTCATTGAGAGAGCTGACCTTTCTCAAAGAACCTGCTGAACGAGCTGTCATTTTACTTTCTTTTTAATTTAAAACAGTACAAATAATTATAATTAATTTATAACACAATTGCGTATAATAAGATGGCGGCAAGATGTCTCCTGATAGCTCTGTTCTTTCTACGTTTCTTCTGGTACCTTAAAGGCAGCGTTGTACATAATATCGCTTCTAGCAAAGAGCTAAGGACTCATATCCTTATCCAAGAAGCCTTCGTGTTACAACTGTCAAAGCAACCCACACAATATCTGGACAAAAATATCAGCTCACAGGAACTAATCCAATACAACTCTTCGCGAAAGCGTCGTCGTTGCTGTCGTCGAAGTCTCTCATCACTCTGGCTCTCAAGACGCAATTCAAAGCGTATTTTTAAGGATTTATACATATTTATTCATATCTTGCTACTCTCCAACGATGTCAATCTGAATCCAGGTCCTCCAAAGAAGATTATTTCAAACAAGAAATGTCTTGTATGTTCTAAAGCGATTAGCATAAATACGAAAACAAAACCACTTACCTGTGAAACATGTCTATCAATTTCTCACTGGAAATGCGCTGGTGTTAATCGCAAAACCTTGAAAAACACTCCATGGAATTGTTTCAGCTGCTCACAACCATTTAACTTCAGCGACTCCTTATTTGAAGACTCCATTGAAGTCATTCTAATTCACTTGTTTCTTTTTGTTTAATCAACACTATTTGTAGTAATTAGTTAAACTTGTTTTCACGGATTTAGTATGTGCACTCTAACCACACAACTTGGTAGATAAACATGTCGAACATGTCGCAATAGCACGTAAATTGTGGCCCTTCTTTGAATGAAAATWTGAAAATTTGAAAAAATCAATGCTGTCCTACCAGTCTTAAAGTCAGATAAAAATTATAAAAAATTGACGTTGCGAAATTCATTCGYTACATGGTGTGCAACCACATGACCAGGAATTCTCTGGAAGAACAAGGCTATCCGTGCCATGTTGGATGAATGAGCAAAGGAGRACTAATGAGACCTTAGTTTGTGATCTTTATTCAATATGGTGGTTGGATTACGTTACCTC